TTCAGTTCTTAATAAATTTTAGTTTCATGGAAATTAAAATTAATTTAGATTAGATTTATAAAAATTATACGTTAGGTCAGGTTAGGTTGGCGTAGCACCCTTGTATACTAAAGTCCACTTGAGCTCAAATGAAGGTCCATTGTGATACTATGGAGATGCTACGCATAAGACAACATTGAATTTATATGATTAGTTATCAAAATAAAATTCCTGGAGAAAATTCCTGAATTCGCGTTATCGAATCTCAGAATGGTTGCAGGCTCCTCGGTGAGGTATGCATTTCTGAGATTAGTTATTGCTTAGTCTGATGAAGTGATAAACAAATAATCCAGTCAAGGCGTAGAGAGTGGTTATGAAGAAACCTCGCAGTTAGTAGAGAGAAAAAGTGCTTAAGCTCACTGACTCAACTAGCCTTAACACAATTAATTAGTGTAAATAAATAATTAATATAAGTATTAAACACTAAAACTAGCATTATTGCAAACAAGGTACGGGTCGCATGAATATCTTGCCATAAGTGATTTGACAGTAATAAACCTCAAAGCAAACGTTTTTCATTTGTCCCAACCATTGAAAGAAAGTATATGTGCCGTTTTAGGATAACTCCAAAGATATTTGGTCATCTAAATAGCCCATTCGAGTTAACAACAGAAATACCGAGAGGCCTAAATAATTATAATCTTAGATTCATCACAAATTTCTTGATTGAATATGTTTTTGTCAAATATAACCTTTTGAAGCTAAAATTAAAGCTTACTGATTACCTGTTAATTCTAGAAAATTCAGAAAACAAATCCAGTTCCTCTATATGTCTGAACACTCTCCGTCACTCTCTTCATGTTTCTTTATTAATCTGCACCAAGTCTAGAAAGTTAAACCAAGTTAGGTATAATATAATAATAGGCGTATTATACCCGGATCACATAATACCGGTTAGAGTATGGTCAATAGATCTCACAGCTCGCAATGTATTTTCACCTTTTGTTCTAATATGATGCAAATATTTTTTTCATATCCATTTGTTTTGATTTGCTAGAGTCTATACAACAAGTGTGTTGTCACCGATTGATGCTAGTTATAAAGTCTATTAATCAACTACGAAACTACGGAATTAAATTGTACTAAAGTGTGAAACGATTAATATTAAGGATTCATTTGATTTTTTCTAGAAAATTCAAGTCAATAAAATTTATAACCTAAGTGCTGAAACCGATAACTTTTGCAGACATTTTTATTAGCGAGAAATAAGTGGAAAATATTTATATACTTTATAAGAAATATTTAATTCATATTAAATAAATTATTAGCTGATTAGATTAGAACAGTGATGCTAATATATTTTATCCAGACTTTAAATATTTTGGGGAACAATGTCTAGCAAAAACACACGTATTGATATTTTATAAAGGTATCAACTTTTCAGAAAGTAAACTATATACTTTTCATATTCTTTAAATTACTATTTAATGGGCGACCGTCTGAAAACAGATATATAAAAAATAGATTAAAGGTGTTAAAAACGAAGTGTGAAGTAAAACAATTTCAAAATGCAGGACAATAGCAAAAATCAAATAAATTTATTTAATTTTTATTACCGAAAAACATCTGCTCCTTTTATTTTGTGAGGCCTGCATTCCTTCATTGTTGCACACAAAGCCAATTTGCCACCTTCGTAAAACATATTTTCTTGAGCCGACATTGAGATCAATTGTCTCCAAGTCGAAAAGTTATTGGATTTGTATTTGCTTTGTATGAAGGCCATACATTATCAACATTATTGGCCAAATAAAAACCATCAAGAGAAGCCGTCAATGCGACCTTATCCTGACTAATGTACAATGACAACGGATTTTTCATAAATAAGAAAAGAAAAGGATACAACGCCTTTACAGTACAAAGGACCAAAATAGTTTTGTATTGAAAAGGGACCAAGGAAAGATGACAAAATTTAAAATTGTGTTTTTTTTCTTTTATTTTTGCATTCGGATTTTGTTTCCTAGGCTTCTTCTTCAGTTCGTTAAGAAAGACCGTACACCATTAATCAAATATTTTTTGTCCGAAATAAAAGGTAAAAATATTCATATATGTATGTGGACATACTTAAATATGAATACCCATGGCTTAATATGTAAATCAACATTTTGCAAATAATACCGATGTGAAGTTTGTATTATTGTATCTAAATGCATGGTGCACCTCTTAAGCCTAGTCATTAGAATTTTAATATTATTTACGTAAATTATATTAGTGTAAAGAAGGGTGCGCCCTACTTATCACAATAGAACTTCATTATTATTATTATTACAATTTTTAAATATATTTTTTTTATGATATTTAGTATTAGTATGTATCATAATCTATAATTAATCGGTTATTATTTAATACTCACATGTGGTAGGGTATAAATATGCGAATACTATGTAGTTATATGCATATATGGGTATTAAAACATGCGGTTAATAGAAAACTATAGTAATCTTACTGACTTACTGAGTTGCCAATTAAAAAGGTTATTATGTAATTAATAAATAATTGAAGAAATATACACACAGATATATAGTAGAATTGAACAAAATACCTATTTAATAATGACGACTCCTTCTCAAGTTATAGTGAATAGTGTGTAATTTGTAAATATAATATATCAGCTATGCTTAACTGTTTTTCACTTTTAGGTTGACGATATCTGTCTCATTAGGGTTCTGCTCAAATCAGCTATGCATAAGTGCTTTCCACTTTCAGGTTGACAATACCGGCCGAGTCTAGATTGCTGATTGCTCTTTTTTAAATTCTGAGTGATCATTCAGGTTCTGCTGAAACCTCGAATGTACTGTTTTATAGATCAAAATTGAAAACTCTTCTGATAGAACTGATAGCTCTTCTGTCAAATCTGAGTGATCATTCAGGATCTGCTCAAATTTCGAATACACTGTTCTTATAGTTCAAAACTGAGAACTGATCCTGGTTAGATTGGTTGATATTTATAGCATAGTTTTAAATGTGGTCTTCATTTTGAATGTTTTGTCATATTTAACACAACTACAGACGACTGTTAGTAGTGTTGGAGCTAAAGTTGCGGTTTCAATAAGAACTTTTTCTATGTACAAATGTTTAAAGAAATGTTGGCGAACGGTTTAGTTGAACGTGTAGTTAAAATTTAGCAAAATTGATGTTAGAGAAGATAAAATAATTTTGAAATTGTATAATAAATATCATATAACTAAAATAACGTTTGGTTAACACTTTACAGCAGAATATGTTTTAATTGTAGATCGATTTTTGTCTTAACCAAAAGAAATTCTTTTTAAATAACTTTTAATTGTAATACATCAAATTAATTAAGTCTATAATTTAGAGAAAAATGTACTTATTCACATGCCGTGAATTTGATATACCAAATTAGAATCTAATAGACTTGTCGTCAAAAAGATAGGAATTACTTTGTTTAAACAGCTTTGGTATTTAATGAGATTATCGGTATTAAAATGTTTGAGACAGGGTTAAGGTTAATATTATGTAGAGTGTCACGGACACGTCAAAATTGACTCTTTCAGGTTTTGACGAAAATCCATGTTATGCAGAGTGTCACATAAGTTTCTCAACTTCGTATTTCTACATTTACTTTACTTACTACTTTACTTATTACTTATTATTGTACTTTTTGTTGTACCTAAATTTTAAA